GTGGGCGTAAATGCCTTGTTGATGCCAGAGGAGAATGGCCAGACTAGTTCCAGCTGATAGAAAGGCAAAAGTAACTCAAACTAGTTTGAAACAGTTATAACTTGCACACATGCACACACATGCACACATAGGGCTCAACCTGTGCAGTGCACGTCCCCTTTTTAGTCATGGATAGACAATGCCCCCGCTCTTCAGCTAGCGATTGCCTCAACCTCCCCTCTACCGTCCCCCGCTCTTCACCTTGCGAACGCAAATCGCATTCAGACTCCACAATCCCCCTCCCGGCTCTTCATCTCGTGACTTACACCAACCCCAACCCCCAACCCCGGCCGCAATCGACTCGCCAACCCACCACAACTAATTCAGAATGTTTTTCTAGCATGTTTCTAGCAAAAATAGCATGTTGGTAGCATGGTTCCAGTATGAATTAGCATGTTGCTAGCATGTTTCTAATACAAGCTAGCATGTTGCTACCTTGAATTTAGTATGAATTAGCATGTTGCTAGTATGTTTATAGTGTGACTTAGCATGTTCGTACGTTTGCTTGTATGATAAGTATGTTTGTTAAAATATTCTTAGTATGTATAAGTGTGTTTGTAGTCTGATCAGTGTGTTAGTATGCTTGTTAGTATGTCTCTAGTATGTATTGGTATGTTGTTAGTGTGTCCAATGTAAAGTCAATGGCAGTTTTTACAATGGAAGTCTATGGGACAGTTGCTAGGGTGTGGTAAATGGTTGCTAGGGTGTGGCTAGTAAGTTGAATGGTGATCAGTGGTTGACAGATTGGTTGTCTGAGCTTAATGAGCCCAACCTTAAGTCTGCATGACAGTCTGGCACAAAGTTATGAGGTTACAAAGTTTGGTCCAATGTTAAGTCAATGGGACTTTTTGGAATTTTCCGGGTCAGTTTTCAGAAAACCGTAAGTCGGATCAGTTGGAAAAGACATAGCAACTTAATTCAGTATAGTTTGGAGGTTTAGAGTTGGTTTGGTGGTTGTAGTATGAACGGTCCTGGAAGAGATGTGTTCTTAAAATAATCTAAGAAGACGGAAGATTAATAAGTTTAAGTAGTATAACAGTGTCATATAACATATGTTGTGTCGTATAACATATGTTGACTTTCTCAAGACACCATAATAACCACTCACTACAACTGAGGTCTGCAAAAAAGCATCCCTAAACGCACAACACATCCAACCTTGTGGCAGATGGGCTACAGCAGCAGAAAACTGGACAATAGAAGATTGGAGAAACGTTGCCTGCTCTGATGAGTGTCCAATTCTGCTGCCACATTAGGATGGTCGTGTCAGAATTTGCCGTCAACAACATGAAAGCATGGATCCATCTTGCCTTGTATCAACGGTTCAGGCTGCTGGTGGTGGTGTAATGGTGTCGTGGAGATACTCTTGGCACACTTTAGGCTTATTAGCACCAATTGAGCATCATGTCAACGCCACAGCCTACCTGAGTATTGTTGCTGAACATGTGACCACAGTGTACCCATCATCTGATGGCTAATCCAGCAGAATAACACACCATGTCATAAAGCACAAATCATCTCAGATTGGTTTCTTGAACATGACAATGAGTTCACTGTACTCAAATGGCCTCCACAGCCACCAGAGCTCAATCCAATAGAGCACCTTTGGGATGTGGTGGAACCGGAGAGTCGCATCATGGATCTGCAGCAACTGTGTTATGCTATCATGTCAATATGGAGCAAAATCTGAGAAATATTTCCAGTAGCTTGTTGAATCTATGCCATGAAGGATTAAGGCAGATCTGAAGGCAAAAGGCGGTTCAACTCGATACTAGTAAGGTGTACCTAATAAAGAGGCCGGTGAGTGTATTAGATGATAGCAAAATAAAATACAAAATTGATTTATTTGCTATTATAATATAATGCTACTATATTTCAATACCTATTAATAATATAAAGTATATAAAGCAATAAAGGGAACGTTGAAACATCATGTGTATTGTCTAAATAGTCCACCAGAAAGCATGGACTGCTGTATAGATGATAAAATAGTGGACAGTCCAAGGGATTTCAGGAAAGATGATTGTTGTAGCAGGTGGATTTGGGGCAATATGAGGCTTAATCTTTAATCCGTAAACTTTAATACAGATCATAACCATTTGGCATTAGAAATGTCCCCTATAGATAACAGATGAGGACAGAAAGAGAATGGGAAAAAATGCGCGGGAAGGCTGACGCTGGTAATAACACTGGATGAAATAGCACAGGTGAAGAGTAAAGCATCCCACACGGCGGCGATAAGCTCAATGTTAGAGCCGAGCGCTGCGTTTTTATAGAAAAAATCTAATTCATCTTCAGCCGAGCAGAGCAGGGGCTCCAATCTGTCCACAAAGCAGTATCGATCCTGGAGTCCGGGAGACCTGGCATCCAACACAATAATAGATTTTCAATTGTGACCACCAGCAGGCACAACCTTATTTAAATCCTAACCAAAAAAAAAGGTCTGAAATGAATATAGGTGGGAGATACAGTGATAAACTGTGTTCAGCAGAGCAGCGCTGAAAGGTCAGCCGGGCCCGAAGGAAAGACATGGTTAACAAGATCCTGGTTCAGAAAACTCTGACATCGGCCTATGCTTAAATCTCCCCATGCTTAACCAGGATTAAGGAAGCAATGTGGGGGAAAAAAAAAATCAATACTAGACACCATCCATTCATCTTCAAAGCCTGATCCTCATCCAGAGCTTGTGCTTGGAAGCAATTTCTGAGAGTTAAGGAGACTTTTATAACCAGAACCCACAGATCTCGTATATAGTGGAAAGATATAAAATACCCTTTTGTCATTTATGAAGTAGATTCAACGTGTCTTTGATATTCACATCGTTCTGGTGGACTGAATATTTTATAAGATGTGTGCAATGCAATTAAATGAAACAAAAATACTATAAAATGCACACATGAATAAAACATATAAAATGTTACATGAAATTATAAATAACTTTGCATAATAGTATATTATTTAAAAAAATGTGAAATATAATTCGGCATAAGAATAAAAACTATTGCATATAACTGAAAAATGAAATGAAATTAAATAATTGGCAATAAGTATTGACAACTGAAACTAAGTTAGACGAAAACAAAACAAACAAACAGAGAAAAAACCTAACACAAAGCAAGTAGAAACACAAAACAAACACAAAATGAAACAAACACAAAACAAACAAAAAAATGCTAAACAAAACACAAAACAAATAAAACAAAAAACAAACATAAAATAAACACAAACAAACGCAAAACAAAATAAACACAAAACGTACATAAAACAAGCACAAAACAAACACACAACAAAACACAAAACAAACAAAACACAAAACATACACAAAACAAACACAAACCAAAACACAAAACAAAACAAATAAAACACAAAACAAGCACAAAACAAACACACAACAAAACACAAAACAAACAAAACACAAAACATACACAAAACGAACACAAACCAAAACACAAAACAAAACAAATAAAACACAAAACAAGCACAAAACAAACACACAACAAAACACAAAACAAACACAAACCAAAACACAAAACAAATGCAAATAAAAAAATACAAAACAAACACACAACAAAACACAAAACAAACACAAAACAAACAAAACAAAAAACAAACAGAAAACAAAAATAGAAAAAAAACAAACACAAAACAAAAACTAAACAAACAGATCAAAAACACATAACAAACACAAAATAAAACAAACACAAAACAAAAACACAAAACAAACACAAAAAACACTAAACAATCAAAACAAACACAAAACAAACACAAAATAAAACAAACACAAAAAACACTAAACAATCAAAACAAACACAAAACAAACACAAACACACAACAAAACACAAACCAAACAGAAAACAAAAACAGAAGAAAACAAACACAAAACAAACACTAAACAAGCACAAAACTAACAAAAACACAAAACAAACACAAAATAAAACAAACAAAAACAAAACGAACGGAACAAAAATCACAAAACAAACACAAAATAAACACAAAATAAAGCAAACACATAACAAAAACACAAAATAAAACACACAAAACAGAAACACAAAACAGAAACACAAAACAAAGAATAAAAAAAAAACAAACCCACAAAACAAACAAACACTAGTTTAAAAAAACAAAACACAAAACAAAACAAGCACAAAATAAAAAACAATAAAATTTTTTTTTTAAAAATCCAGTCCCGGGAAACTCTCATACACACTCATTCACACACACTACACACTTATTCATAAACTCTGGCCAATTTAGTTCAATTCCCCTATAGTGCATGTGTTTGGACTGGGGGAGAATCTGGAGCACCCAGAGGAAACCCACGCCAGCATAGGGAACACAGAGATGGCCCAACCATAGTTTTTTTTTTTTTACCTACTATGGAAGTCAATTGCTACCAGTTTTGATCGTTCTTTAAAATATCTTTTGGGTTCATTAGGAAAAATAAACAGGTTTTAACCACTTGAGAATGAGCACATTTTAACTTCAATTTAAACATTAGGCTTTCCGCTTGTTAAGTGTGACATCAAGCGAAGCGCTTTCCGGATCCAAACGCCCTACCAAGCTGTATGAGGAGGCTCAACAAATGTACTAACACAAAGTGATGAATTACTTTCGAAAATCACGATCAAATGACATATATCTGTGTCTAATATCAGGTGAACAGAATGTGATTCATTTTTTAGAAACTGTTCAATTATTGGTGTCTGTGATGCAGCAAGTCCAGAGACCGTGATGTACACCATGATTGTACATCAGTTTCACTTTAATGTGATGATTTTAAGTGATCATTCAATGTGTTAAATGACTAAAAAGTGATCAAAAACGATTATTTTCTCAATTCAAATGAGCATCGGCATAAATCCAGCAACAGTATTCAATACGTCACGACTTAACAAGCAGATAGGACGGTGAGAAGCAGAATTAAGGTCAGCTGTGCTTGTGCTTATGTTTCTGTGCTGCAGGTGGTGATGAAGATCATCAAGCACTATCAGGAGGAAGGTCAGGGCAGTGAGGTGGTGCAGGGAGTCCTGCTGGGGCTGGTGGTCGAGGATCAGCTGGAGATCACCAACTGCTTCCCGTTCCCTCAGCACACTGAGGATGATGCTGACTTTGATGAAGGTAGGAGACTGAAACGACTAAAGCCCACATTGTTCGTGAAGTTGCTGTGAAAATATACACAAATGTACACAACTTAACTCTTTATGAATTTTTTGACATTGAGCATCATTGATTTCTGTTATTTATATGAAGGAAACACTGAGAGAATCAGACAGAAATAGACTTTACCCCTAAAGCTGCTGGATCATATTGGAAATGAATCCAAATCTTTGAACACAATACATCAGTGTTGTTTGATGGCTACTTGAACACGTTGATGGACATACAGTATACACAAATGCACACATCTGAATTATTTATTTATTTTATGTCCTCAAGAATGAATAATTTCTGTCATTTATATAAAGGAAACCCTGAGACTGAAGCGACTAAAGTGCACTGGTATTGCAGTCCCTCCAGGATTTCACAAGAAAACTGATGTTTTTGCACTAAAATGATTAATTACGTGGTTTTGGGAAATTTGTGGCAAGTTTTGTGCCGTTTATTTTATTGTTTTTGCTGTGAAAATATATACAAATGTACACCACTTAATCCTTTATTAATTTTTGATCTCGAGAATCATTGATTTCTGTCATTTACATTGTATTTGCTGTGAAAATACACACAAATGTACATGTAACGAAAGCCAGCTAGTGAAGTGTGTAGTGGTTTTCTTGGTTTTTCTCTTACTAAATCAAACTCAGTCTGGAGGTTATGAATATCAGAAGAATATACTTTATTGTCGACAACAAAGGAGAACTTTCAGGAGACCCCCAGTAGCATCTCTGTCTGAAAAATTCTGACTCACTCAAATTCTAGCCTGTTTAAATAGTCTTCTACACCAGTTTTTTTCTTTGTTCTCCATATATTACACAAATTCCACCTAGGTTAACCCCTGACCCAAACCTGGTAACTATATAACTTATCCAGTTCTTGTGATATGGTAATTCTTCTAATGGTATGCAAGTCTACAAGCAGATTATATACATACACTTTGAATATATATATTAACTTCACACTTTAAAGAGTATAAAATCCACCTCAAGTGCTGTGCAGATAAACCTCACTCCTCTGACCTCTAATGCTGCGTTCACACCAGATGCGGCACGCGTGTCAAGCGCGAGTGATTTACATGTCAAGTCAATGCAAACGCGCGAATAGACATCCTGCGGCGCGATACGCGCGAATGGCGCCTTGGTAATGACGCGAATGTCGCGGTGCGAATAGCGCGATACATGCAAGGCGAATTGAGCGTTTTGCGCGTTTGCAACAAATGCTAGAGTCCATTGTCTTTAGCGTTGTTAGAGCAACCGACTCCCATGCGGAAGGTTGCCAGTTCGATCCTAGGTCGGAGCGGGTTGAGTGGTGTAGGACCGGCAGGGTTACATTGGTGCCGTGACCCGGATGGGAGTGAGGTTTAGGGGGGTGAGTGTAACGGAGGCCAGTTAGTGAAGTGCTGTGCAGGTAAACCTCACTCCTCTGACCTCTAAAGGTGCTCTAGCGACAGTCACTAGAGGTCATGATCTTTAGCCTCCTTGTTAGAGCAATTGACTCCCATGTGGAAGGTCACCGGTTCGATCCCAGCTCGGGGCAGCTTGGGTTGCGTAGGGCCGGTAGGGTTACATACACAGCTTAAATCTTTATTACTTTTTGATCTGGAGAATCATTGATTTCTGTCATTTACATGAAGGAAACACTGAGAGAATCAGAGAGAGATAGACTTTACCCCTAAAGCTGCTGGATCATATTGGAAATGAATCCAAATCTTTGACAATAATGTGTTGTTTGACGGCTTTTTGAACACGTTGTTGGACATACAGTAATGTACACAACTAAATGCTTTATTTACTTTTTAACATCACGAATCATTGATTTCTGTAATGTATATAAAGAAGACCAAACCTGAGACCAAAGCAGCTAAATCGCACTCTGGTATTGCAGGGCTCTCCAGGATTTAACAAAAAATAATCTGATAATTTGCAGCTAATCCTTTTAGTTGCAAAATATCAGATCATTTTTTTGCGGTTTTTATAAAATTTACTGCAAATTTTGTGGTGTCTATGTTACTGTTTTGCTGTCAAAATATACACAAATATACACATCCTAATTGTTTATTATTTTTTTGACCTCGAGCATCATTGATTTCTGTCATTTTTATAAAGGAAACACTGAGAGAATCAGAGAGAGATAGACTTTACCCCTAAAGCTGCTGGATCATATTGGAAAATGGATGCAAATCTATGACAATAATGCATCAGTGTTGTTTGACGACCACTGGAACACGTTGGTGGACATACAGTATACACAAATGCACACATCTGAATTATTTATTTATTTATTTTTACCTGAAGAATCATTTATTTCTGTAGTTTATATAAAGGAAACCCTGAGACTGAAGCAACTAAAGCACACTGGTATTGCAGTCCCTCATCACTTTTAATTTTTTTTGCAACGAAAATGCTTGATTACGTGGTTTTGTGGAAAACTTTGTGGTGTTTATTTAATTGTTTTGCTGTTAAAACAGGCCCACATTGGCTAATCGAGAGTACCGGGAGAATTCCCAGTGGCCCGTTGCGTTTTTGGCCGTGAGCTGTCCCTACCTGCTTGCACTCTTAGCAGTCGCAATGTTTCCATTTATTTATTTATTTGACTATATCCTCAGTCTTTTTATTCAATATTTTGCCGCAGCTCTGCTCTTCTTATTTATTTTCTGACTGAAGCAGCTGATATTCATTTACACCGAGGAAGGGCACAGGGTTGCTGAAGAACTACTGAGAGATTTCAGCTGCTGTCTGGGCTTTCACTGCTGAACTACACCTCCCTTTCTTCATGTGTTCAATACTTTTTCCCGGCATCATTTCATTTTATTATGCACAGCTTCATTTGTAATCTAATTAGATTTGTTTACTTGCATATATGGATTTCTTTGGTTGCTATCAACATCTGGGGAAAACTTCAAGTCAACAGCACCTTGACGAACATTGTTTCTGAGAAAAATGTTGATGTGTTCAATACTTATCTTCCCTGCTGTAACTTATGTATATTTTGGTTTTTAATTATTTACTAGCACTATTCCTTCCGGATTAATTTCCTAAATGACGCTTCACTAACAGATCCTAAAGTATAACATCATTTTTGTTGCTGATGTTTGTGTCATTTGCTTTGTATTGCTTTTCCTTGTACTTATGCTGAAAGTAATACTCAATGCCACTCAGATGACTTTCTCAGAAATGTAATCTTTATCTGAATATATTGTGGGCTCTCTGAAGAAGTGTTGAACTAACCATTATAAGTAGCTTTGGGGAGAAAGCCAATGACTCTGATATGGATATTGAGATGAGCTACATTAAGTTCTGATGGAGTGCAGATAAAGAATATACACAAATATGATTTCTGGGAATGCTGCAAATGTGTTCACCGTTTGATAGCGGTGTAGATCGTTCTGCCTTAAATCGTGTCTGATAAGACTGTCAACAACTTTCTGATTCAGTAAGCAGCCATTTGATTGGAAACACACACTTGCACTTCTTCCACTTGCTTTTGATTCTTTTTTTGTTCTTCTAAGCTTTTTCAGTATGTTGGTCAATTTCTTTTTAATATTTATATGTTAGTTTTTCGATTGATTGATACTGATTTTTCTTGATATTTGTGTATTTATTTATTTACTTGTTTTTTTTTCTGTTTGTGATATTGAATAGAACAAGCGCAAGATCCTTACTTTTTATTTATTTTTTTGTTTGTGTACTTATTTATTTGTTTATTTATTTGTGTATTATGTATTTATTTGTTTGTTTGCTTATTTATTTGCATATTTATTTATTTGGGTGTTTGTTTATTTTTTTAATTTATTTTTACTCTGTTTGTGATATTGAATAAAGCAAAGCACCATTCCTATATATTTATTTACTTGTTCATTTGTGATTTTTTTATTTGTAAATTTGTTTATTTGATTATTTATATGTATGTTTATCTATTATTTGCTTATTTTTTCTGTTTGTGACAATCCTTTATTTATTTATTTATTTATAGATTTATTTATTTATTTATTTGTGTATTTATTTTTTTATTAATTTGCGTGTTTATTTATTTATTCTCTTCTGATTTTCTATTTTTTTTCTGATATTGAATAGACCAAGGCGCAAGATCTTGTTTGTTTATTTATTTGTTAGTTTGTGTATTTATTTATTTGTGAATTTGTTTATTTATTGGTTTGTGTAAGTATTTATTTGTGTATTTTTTATTTTTTTATTTGGTATATTGAATAGAACAAAGGACGATATATTTATTTAGTTATTTATTTGTTTGTGTATTTATTTATTTGTGTATTTATTTATTTAATTATAATTTTTTTTCTGTTTGGTGTATTGAATAGAACATGCAAGATCTTTATTTATTTATTTATTTGTTTGTTTGTGTATTTATATTTTTGGGTATTTGTGTATTTATATATTTATTTACTTATTTTTTTCTGTTTGTAAAAAGAGCAAGATCTTTTTTAATTGTGAATTAGTTTATTTATTTATTTGTTTGTGTATTTGTTTGTTTGTTTATTTGTGTATTTATTATTGTGTATTTATTTATTTGTTTGCTTGTGTGTTTGTTTATTAATTATTCATTTTTTTCTTTCTGGTATATTGAATAGAATAAATTGCACAATTCCTATTTATTTATTTATTTATTTATTTATTCATCTACATATTTATTTGTGAAATTGAGTATTTATTTTTTGTTTGTGTATTTATTTGTGTATTTATATATTTAATTATTATTATTTTTCTGTTTGTGATAATGAATAGAACAAAGTGCAATATTCTTATTATTGATTTATTTATTTATAACTTTGTGTATTTGTTTGTTTGCTTGTGTTTTTTTTACTTGTGTATTCATTTATTTGTTTGTTTGTGATATTGAATAGAACAAAGTGCAATATTATTTATTTATTTATTTATTTGTTTTTTTGTGTATTTGTTTGTGAATTTGGGTATTTTTTATTTGTTTGTTTGTGTATTTATTTATGAATT